ATTCCCAAATTACATGCAAATGGGGATCCCCACTATCCACCTGATGGATCATTAACATGCTGAAGGAAGAGGCCATCAGAGTTAGATCAAGGCAGGCAATGTTACTGATCGCAAGGCCAAAGTTTCTGTGAATCAAGTTTTGCTGGGACATGCCCAAGCCTGTTCATTCAGGTACTGTCTTTAGTTGTGTTTGTGATCCAGATTACCCGAATATTTGCTAGATAACCATGTGTTCCCAATGCCTAAAAATATCGATCTGTTGGGCCTTTAGGATCTTATGGAAGGCTGGACCAGCAATAAGAAGGACCCATACTTAAGAGTCATGCCCATAATCACCAGCAAGAATTACCTGATGTATCAAGTTAAGATGCTTTCCTGCCACTGTGATAAAGCAATGACCAAAAGGGACTGGAGAGTTCAGAGCATCTCCTGCTCCCCCAGAGGATCCAAGCTCTGTTCCCAGCACCCACATCAGGTGGCTCGCATGCCTGTAACTTCAGCTCCAGGGGATTCTTGAATATCTGCACTCATAATCACCTACACATAATAAAAATATATCTTAAACAAAAGAACACTAACCAAAAGCAACCTGGGAGTAAAGGGTATACTGGGCTTATTTAAACTTCCAGATCACAGTTCATTAATAAGGGACGGCAAAGCAGCAGCCTGGAGGTGGGAACAGAAGCAACAGCCGTGGAGGAATGTAGGTTACTGGCTTGCTCTCCCTGGTCTGCTCAGCCTGCTGTCTTAAATAACCAGGAACTGCCTGCCAGGGTGGTATCATCCACAGTGGACTAGACCCCCTACGCCAACCATTGATCAAAACATTTCCCACAGACAGGCCCATGTGTAATGGAGAAAAGTCCTGAACCGAAGCTCCCTTCCTAAGTGCTCATGAACGGCACAGAGGAACCCTGACTCCATGGCATTGTTTACCTTTCCTGTCAGGAAAAGAAACTGGGAGAACTCTTCCGAGTTCAATACCCAGCACCCACACAATCTCCATTCTGAGGGGCCCAACAGCAGCCACAGCCAGCCTAGATGCTAGCAAAGTTTCAGGCCAGGTGAGAGGTCCTACCTCAACAGAAGAAGAAAAAGTAGCTCCTGACAAATGACCCCCACGACTGGCCTTTGACCTCTACACACGACCCTCCACACACAAAAGGAAAAGAATAACATGAGTACTGTTGCTTTAGAGGCCAAAGTTACATCACCTTCCTCCTACTGCATCTCTTTAGTCCTTAACTTAGGAGAGTCTAGAAGCGCAGCTTCAGAGTTCTGTTTGGAAAGCTAGTCTCCTCTATTCCTACGATTTTAAAATTAAAGTCTAATGAAATGTACTTCAGATGCTCAGAATTCTTCACTACGATTAGAAGAAATAAAAGAGACGGAGCAGAAAAGGTTAGTGTCCAGATTTCACCAAAGCCAGCATTCACACCTGAGGAGCAATCTATATGCTAAGTCCACCCCTGTATCCAGCATTTGCTGAGCCCCTACCAGGTTCAGGCTCTGGGCTTCAGTTGGGAACAGAGAACTGACAGAGCCAGCACCTCAATACTTCCAAAGGAGGGGGTGCTCCGTCCTGCAGGATTAAAACCACAGAACAAGCCTGGATACACAACCATCTGTATTAAAGCAGCAGAAGTCAGAACTGGGGGCTCCCAAGTGACATGGCACTCAGTTCATCTGCGTGACAAATGGATTAGCGAACCTGGTCACAAGTCCCAATCTTTGTCACTTTACTTCCCAACAACCTGCCTTTGCTGGCTGGCTACCTCCCTAGCAGGCACGGTGGCACACATATGCTGTCTTCCCAGGACTTGGGAACTGGAGACAGGAGAAACATGAGCTCGAGATCACCCAAGTTCAGGCCATCCTGGGCTACATAGAAGACCCTGTACCAAAAAGAGAGGAGGGAAGAAAAAGGACAGGAGAAGAAAGGGGAGGGGAAGGAGATGGGGGAGCAAAGATAAAAGAATTACTCCTCAGAGTGTTAGTTAAAACGTCTTAAACCTTCCCTCCTGTGACTGAAAAAGGATGGAAACTTCAAGGTTCCGCAGGAAGTGGTGCTGCTTACATGTCTTGCCCAGAATCCCACGGGTTTCTATGCGTGCCCATGCTGCACCCGCCTGTTTTGACCAGCACCCCTAGACAAGGAAAGAGCCACCACTAAGGAGCTTAGCATGCAGCGGCAGGAAATAACTGAGACTCCCTCATTCAGTGCTCATAAAAACTTTATTATCTGTCTGGGGCAAAGCTCAGTAGGTAAAGTGCCTGCTGTACTTGCACAAGGACCTGAGTTCAGATTCACAGAACCCCGGAAAAGCTGGCCTTGGGAGTGCATCTATAACCTGAGCACTCCTGTGGGATGAGGGAGGAGGGATCAGAAGCTTCCCAGAAGTTTGTGGCTCCGCTAACCTGGCACACACAACAGTCGTGAGCACACACAGCAGTAGTGAATAATAGGAGACCCTGCCTCAGACCAACTGACAGGCAAGGACCAAGGCCTGAGTGCTGCGCTGTGACTCTCGGAACCCGTGTGAATAAAGTTAACTTGGGACCGAGGCAGAGCCACCAATTAGCTCACTGGAATTAGTCAGAGAAGCCAGGAATACAGATAGCAAGGTCAGACAGGAAGGAGAAGGGAGGGACTTGGGGTTCTGGGACGTTTGGTGGGAAAAGGTGCTGGCTGGGTAACCAAGAAGAAAGGGAAGGTCAGCTGCTGATTCTTTCTCTGCTTCTTTGATCTCTAAGGTTATTCACCCCAATAACTGCCTCTTGAGTTTTTATTGGAAATAGAACAATTCAGCAAAACACAACACCTGAGGTTCTTCAACCTACACCACACACCAAGGCATACGCACATTCACATACACACAAGCATGCGTGGATACAAAACAATCTTTTAAGGGACTGGAGAGATGGCCTAGTGGTTAAAGGCATCAGCTGCTCTTGCGGAGAAGCTACGTTTGGTTCCCAGCACCCACATGGTGGCTCTCAACTGTCTGTAACTCCAGTTCAGCTCAGGGAGATGGCCTCTTCTCGCCTCCATAGACACCGCTCGCATGTGGCGCACAAGCAAACATGCAGGCAAACACTCATACACATAAAATAAATATAAATAAATCTTTTAAGATTAGTAAATAATCTGATTATCCTGACATTATAAATGGGAAACCTGAGGCTCAGAGACATTACAAAGCCCAGTGAAACAGGCCCCACAGGTTGCTAATTAACATAGTATTATCTTAGCCATAATCTCCCCTTCCTGGTACAGTAAGACTCATACCCACCCTCCTTCCTGTGAACACAGACTTCCCTTAGGAGAGGGAAGAGCACCTTTGCTGAGACCAGCAGTTAAGCAGGAGGTGGAAAGTCATCCTGGACAGGCATCAAAAGGCACTGCCCAGCGGCCCTCACTGCCCAGTGTCACTCACTGCCCAGTGTGACTCACTGCCCAGTGGCCCTCACTGCCCAGCGGCCCTCACTGCCCAGCGGCCCTCACTGCCCAGTGGCCCTCACTGCCCAGCGGCCCTCACTGCCCAGCGGCCCTCACTGCCCAGTGGCCCAGCAGGGAGGGACGAGAGGAAGTAAGGGAGACTGGCCAGGCACATGCACAGGGTCTGTCACAAGCTCGGAAAGCACTCTTCCCCCCCCCGCCCCCCATATTACCTCAGCTACTATTAGTCTTGCTAAATTTCCGACACACTCAGTGTCTCTGCCAAATGTTTCTTACCATGCACACAGAGTGCATAGCAGAACCATGGCTTAAACACATAAGCTGTCGACCCTGACAAGCACAAGGGGACTCTACCTGACCTCTCAGGGCCAATGCTCTCGCCATAGAGCGCCAGGTGGACTGCATATGAGATAACACTCACTGACTTCTGCCAAGTAAACAGACCGCGACAGGATTTCAGCTCAGTTTCAAGGATGGGGGACCCACAGGTATACCCAGTGGTGAAGGACTGTTACATACGAGGTAATGTCTTAACAATAAGAGTTCACCGCTCTTGGTTAAGATTGGGGCTTAAATGTGTGTGGAATGTGGACCAAAAGGAACCCTGTAAGCACCAGCTCCTAAGTCCAAATCAGCCTCAGGCACCTGAGTCAAGAAAGAGGGGCACAAGAGAGCCGGTGTCTGTGGCCACCTGACCAAGTCTACCGCACTGCCAGCAGCCACGCAAGCTTCCTACCCTCAACCCTGTCCACTCAACCCTGTCCACTCAACCCTGTCCACTGCCAGCAGCCACACTGCCAGCACACGCAAGCTTCCTACCCTTCGGTCCCTTCAACCCTGATCTGGAGACGCCACCCTCTGGGAGGGATGAGCCGAAGATACAGGAGGGGGCAGGTGAAGAACACCTCTTCAGGGCTTCAAGCGCCCTGTAGTTTGCATTCATGAAGCTCAACCTTGAATGGTAAATGGTCCATGTTCACAACTTAAATGGGCTGTGCACCGCCACCTCCCGACAGACACCCTTCACCTACTGCACACGAAGAGCCCTAATCTTCAAAGCCAAAAGCTATCCTCTAGCCATTACCCATGAGTCAAAGTCACTCCTTGACAACCGAAGACAACTGAAACTGTTTCTGGTCAGGTACCAAGTTCAAAAGCTATCATCCTCTGGCCATTACCCATGGGTCAAAGTCACTCCTTGACAACTGAAACTGGTTTTGGCCAGGAACCATGTAGATTTCAATAGTAATTTGAAAGTAAAATGTTCTACATTCTGACCCCAGAGACAATAGTAAAGACACCTTTTACTTGTGAAAGACCAGTCACCAAGGTGTCCAAACCTCCAATGTCAAGACTGCAAATGTTTTTAAACGTCCCCACACAAAAGTTTCCCCCACTCTTCCCATAATTTGCATGCATAATGTGATTGAAGTCGAGGGATCAGGCTGCTAATACTTCCCAAACAATTTTTTCCGGACCAATTTCAATCTGCCAAGACAGCCTTACCACCTTCAAGAGCACCTCCTAAAGCAAGGCTTACCTTGTAATTGCTAGAGTTCACCCAAGAGGTAGCGAGTCCATCCACAAGCTTATCTAACATGGTCTGGTCATGCTCAAGGTCAGCAGACTTCTGCTTGTCTGAGAAATAGTCTATTAGTTCCTGGCCAACCTGCAGCCGTTTCCCCACATCCTTCTGCAGCACCTGGGCCAGACAGGACTCCATTCGAGGTTCCATGGTAGGATTCAAATCCAGATCCGGCCAAGGCTAGGGGGCGGTCAGGATGACTCCCTCCCGGTAGCTGTACCGGGAGGTGGCCTCTTTGTTCGCTGAAGGCTACTAAGAGTGTGTGTTTCAAAGATGCAATCCGGGGAATGGCAGCAATGCACCATGTGTGTCTGAAGAGCAGCTGGTCGGATATTAAAAGTCCAATTTAAATAACTAGTAGGCGATAAAGGCGAGAGTGGTGGAGTGATGACCCACGACTAGGTCTGAAATCCTTCATAGTTCAGCAGTCCATTCTGAAAAGGAAGAGAGGAGAACAAATCAGCCAAAGGGCAGAACACACAACTGTTAGGAAGCATTTCATCAAAGACAAAGACACTCCGGATCACACGCAGGGTGGGAAGCACGAACACTTGGCAAACAGATCAGAAAAACATGAGTATTATTTTTATTAGCAGAATGGCAAAGCCCAAAGGATTGAGCCAGAGAGCTATGTGCCTGGTAAGCTGGCACTTTTCACAGTTCCCTAGCTTGTAAACGCACAAGTTAGGAGAGCAATCTTCTGCTTCCAGTGGCTTCGGACCCTCACACCATGCTGAGAGTCATGGTAGGCACTGCCCTATCATCTACCTCTCAATAAACTCGGTCCTGGAAGGGCACGGGCTCCTCTATACACCCCTAAAACAAGCTTGGTCACGTCAGCCAAAGGCAAAGGCAGCACCTACACTGTCCGTCCTGCTCTGCAGCTTCACAGCGGGATAGCCGCCTTTCCAGGCAAAGGAGAAGAGAGGCAAAGGGAAGGAGATAGCTGTTGGCACGGTATTCTCCGTTGACAGCAACTTCACTAGGGACTATTTGTTATGAAATGAGTTCTCAAAATCAAGCTCGGCACTGTAAACACATAAAAAAAGAAAAGTACTAAAGCAGAGTTTGGAGTTTTTGCAGTGCTGAGGCTTGTACGCAGGAACTTGTGCCTTCTAGGCAAGGGTTCTACCACTGAGCTGACCCACCTTTACTCTCATGAAATGGTTTTCGCTAGACAGATTTAAAAGTTAACTAGTTATCTATAGCCGGCAGAGTAAAATGTTTCTTATTCAACGTCTCTCCTACTATTAAGTAGTTCCTTTCATCCTAAATTAGGAAGACACACAGGAAACCCAGCTTTCTTAAGATGCAGCGTCTCAGAGTTGGAAGGTGACTCGGCGGTAAGAGGGCTTGCTTCACAAGCGTGATGATGAGTTCAGATCCCAGCACCCATGTAACAAGCGGGAAATGGGTCTCACATGCACCTATAACCCCAGCACTGAGGAGGGCAGACATGGAGGATGGATAAAGTTTGTTAGCAGGCAGTCCAGCCAAAACACGTGAGCTCCAAGTTCAGGGAGAGGAGTCAGAAAGACAGGGATTGAGGAAGACATCTAACGGCCTCCTTTGGTCTCTGCGTGCAAAGGCATGAACACACAGGTGTGTATAACACACACACACACACACACACACACACACACACACACAATGTAATTTAAAATGAGGGCCAAGGAGGCTGGAGAGATGGCTCAGAGGTTAAGAGCACTGACTGCTCTTCCAGTGGAACCGGGTTCAATTCCCAGCACCCACATGGCAGTTCACAACTGTCTGAAAATCCAGTTCTGGGGGATCTGACACCTTCACACCAATGCACATAAAATAAAGTTAAATAATACTATTAAAAAAATAAAATAAAATAAAATGAGGGCCAAGAAGATGGCTCAGCGGGTAAAGACACCACACAAACCTGGTGACCGGAATTCAATCCCTGGCCAACAAGTAAAGACAGAAGGAGGAAACGACTCCACAAAGTTGTCCTCTGACTGTAGGCCCATATTTCTATATGGTGTGGCAGCCAGGCTCTGAAGCCAGAGGCCCCACCTGAGGGGGTCAGGTAGTCCTGCAGAAAGGCCGTCGCTGCCCTAACAAAGGTCAGGTTGCTCCTTTCTTTATAATTTGGAGGATGCCTGATAGAGATGCTGATTCAAACCTACCTGACAGCTAGCATACAGGACAGATAGGTAGAAGCAGACTTGACAAAAAGTCATTCACCTGGTTACCCAGGAGACAGAATGCTAATGTATTTCCCCCTGAGTTAAGTTTTGGCGTAAAGACTGTTTGGAGACTAAACAAGGAAGAATTCTTCAGGATGTGAACTCAAGACTTCATGAGGGACCACTGAGAATCTCCCTCCCGATAAAGCCATGTGAGTTGTGTCTTTATTTCTGCGCCTCTACGCCGGTCCAGAGAGAGATAGTTTATGTTGGGGTCTGGTCTAGAGACTTAATTTATGGTCTGGGCTGCTACCGGACCCCCCGACATCTGACCTCCACAGATGTGCCACAGTATGTACAAACACCCTCATAATATGCTTTTAAAATATAAAATGTAAAAATAAAAGTATTCTACATGGTTCCAAAAAGATAGCAAGCATTCATTGTTCAACATCGGCTACAGCATGTGGGCCATGGACTCAGCAACACTAGTCAGTGCATAAGCAAGCTCTCAGGAAGCTCTCAGGAAGCAATATTCTCAGAAACGTCAGTAAGTACAGTTAAGCTGCCAGTCCTATCTGCTTTCTGATATAGTAAAATGTAGGGCTACGGCCAGAACTACTTACTCTAACCACCATGCCTTCCCTGCCAAGATGGTCTGACATGCCCAGAAACTGTGCCAAGATCAACCTTTTCTTCCTTTAAAAGCAAAGCCAGGAACCTGCAGTGCAGAACCTGAGACCACCAGAGTTCATGTGAAGAGATGGTACTGCTAACAGCACAGGGGGACACCAGATGGTGTTTGTGGCCTAAGTCCAACTAGAGATTCTAACAAAAGGTACCTGAGGTTGCCCTCTGACCTACACATGTGCTGTGCCTGCACACACTCCCACAGACACACATATCCATGAACACATACTATATATATATATATATGAGGGGACTTGGAAAGGGCTGGAAGGAGAAAAGGGAAGGGGGAGAATTATGTAACTATAATTTAATTAAAAACAAAAAACACCTGAAAATGTCTCGAGGCATGCATAGAAGACAGGTATATTATTAAGCAGCCAACCCTGGAAGACTAGACGCGGGAGAAGTCACTCACACTGAGTCGAAAGCAGCATGCACCCATTTGTCAGCATCTCCTTCTGCAGTTTTGTAGCAGCCAGAGCTTAGAATGCTCTGGGCAGGAGTCTCTGTTCCTCCTTCTCTCTGCTCCCACCCACAGACCGCCCCCCACTACTCAGTGAACACCACGCAGGCCCATGGGAAGACAGGTGCTGAACAACACTGACTGCTGAAGCCCAGCCCAGTGACTCCAGGGCTCTTGCTGCCTAGAACAAGGAAGAGACAGGCAGACAGCTACGGGTAGCATAGGAAGAAGACAAAACACTTGGGGACCCAGCAACACTTCAGCTGAGGGCGAAAGATGGAGTAGCCCACCTCAGTCAGACTCAGCGCCACCCAGCTTCCCTTGGCCATCACACCCATGCTCCGGAGAGCTCCCTCCCTCGGTCTCTGCTTTCCTCACGGCTTCAACACCCATGGAGAGGACTTCAACCTTCCAGTCACCTGCTCTCTCCCTTCTATTGGCTCCCTCAATACCAGCAGCTTGTAGATGTCCCCTAAATCGCCCATCTTCAGCAGGCCCTCACTGCCTCCATCGGGGACCGACACGGTTAGCAGTGTCTAGGAGCTGGAGAGTCGGCTGGGCAGACAGAGTGCTCAGTGCTCTTACAGAGGACCCCAGTTCGGTCCCCATCACCACAAAAATTAAAATGTTTTAAAAGGATCACTTCTCTTTCCTACTTCTCAGAACTCTCTCAAAGACAGAAAGAGAGGCATGTGCTCAGACAGCTGCCATGA